GGTTCGCGACAGGTGTTCGTAGCAGGTGTTCCCGAAAAGTGTTCGCTGTTTGTTTGTTGGCAGAGTTTGTGAGAGTTTAGGGTGAAACCGTGCAGTTTTCAGGACCCTCAATAAACCGTAATCCCTGGAGCCTGAAACCTCGGAGAAATTGCCTCGTTTCATCATTCAGATTCTGAAAAGAATCTGACTCACACATGTGCAGGTTCCACGAAACGAGCCCTCGACAACTTCGCCTTCGCCTTGGAGAGGTCTTGCCAGCCTCGCTTGCGGCTTCGCTTCTGCTGTGAATTCCGTGCTCTTGCAGTCAGAGTGCAGATGCTGCCTCGTCCAGTAAACCATGTTACAATGTTTTGCAGCACCTCTCACTTTCATGCCGTGGCCGCGACAGATCAACTTCGCCTTGCCTCTGGCTTTTTCTTGGCCTTCCGTGGGCCGGCGTATCTCCTTTTCTTGGCCTTCTGTCGGCTTCTCTCGCCTTTGCCATGGGCAAGTCTGCTATGAAGAAAGCAGAGAAGCCGACGGCGGCTGTGAAGCAGGCCAAGCTGAAGGAGAAGCGGCAGGAGACCCTCCGTAAGGAGCAGCTGCAGGTCTTGTCTTCGGACAAGACCAACCAGGCGCTGATGGTGGAGCAGGTCTTAGGATGGTTCGAAACCCATCCTCGCGGCTTTGAACACATTCATCGGTCGATCATGTTGGGCTCCTATGACGCTCTCGACTCCCGCATGGCCTTGGACCCGGAGAGCGACACTCGCCTTCCAGCCTATATGAATAAATGGAGGCTGTTGAGCATCGGCTTGGGCTTGGAGATCCTCCACGAAGTCGTGCCTGCTGTTGCCTCCTTCGTGAACAAGCAGATGCAGAGGGGGGCGAAGCTGAGCAAAACCGATGTGGCTGAGATCGTGGCCTTCGCCTTGCATGTCGACCTCAACGGGGCTCTTCCCAGCAAACAGAAGACGACGCTCATCCAGTGGTCCGTCAAGAGGAGCGAGGAGTCGGCATCGCCTTTGAAATCCTGGACTTCGTCTTCCGAGCCCAAGAGCGAGACGTGGCAGGACAGTCGTTGATCGATAGAGTTTTTTGTGGGTTTAGGCCTCTGTGTAAGAACAACGGGCCAGTGGACTCAACTGGATTCTCGTGTTTTGCCTGCAGGACTTTCAGAAGCACCCGCTGTATCGCTACTGGCACTTTGAGCACGGGCAGGATGACCCGGACAAGACGACCTTCGGCTTCGTGCGGTACCTCAACACCGACATTCGCCTTCGCATTCCCAAGGAGCTCCGCGGCTTCGAGATGAGCGGGCCCTGGCTGTTCCACACGACCTTCATCAATGGCTGCATCAAGATCCCTATGCAGCACCTCTTCAAGGAGAATGCCGAGGAGGTTGCTCAACTTCCCGAAGCGCCGCTATGCATGGATTCGGTGCCTTCGAAACTGCCCGAGACGAAGACGACGCCGCCCAATGACACTGAGACGAAGACGAAGCCGCAGGAGAAGGATGCGCCGAAGACACCCAAGAAGCGGACCCAGCGGTCGGACCCGAAGACACCGAGTTCCAGCCGCAGCTCGAAGTCGGCGAAGACCGATGCTGTCAGCCCGCCGCCTTCGTCTGCGAAGTCGTCCAAGTCCAAGCAGTGAGCGGCACCATCGTCTTCGGCAGAGCAGGGCCTTCGTCTTGGACTTCCTAGGCTAGTACTCGCAGTAGTCCTAGTAGTCCTAGTCCTAGTAGTAATAGTAGTAGTAGTAGTATTAATTATTATTATTATTATTAGTAGTAGTAGTAAGTAGTAGTAGTAGTAGTAGTAGTAGTAGTAGTAGTAGTTGTTGTTGTTATTATTGTAGTTGTAGTTGTAGTTGTAGTTGTAGTTGTAGTTGTAGTTGTAGTTGTAGTTGTAGTTGTAGTTGTAGTTGTAGTTGTAGTTGTAGTTGTAGTTGTGGTGGTAGTAGTAGTAGTAGTAGTCGTAGTAGTAGTAGTAGTAGTAGTAGTAGTCGTAGTAGTAGTCGTAGTGGCAGTGGTAGTGGTAGTGGTAGTGCTAGTAGTAGTAGTAGTAGTAGTAGTAGTA